GATAAGTCCTCTTCCGCTGAGCCATATATCCCCAGCCTGAAGAAAATTTTATCTTCACCATTAATTTTTTTAGCAGAGCAAAATTCAGTTTTTGTCCAACAAAATGTTGTCCCACTAACAAACGCCAGACATTATTATAGATTATTTTGCTATAACCAAATATAGTATTTTAAACAAAAAACTCTGGTTTTCACAATAATGAGGGCTGGAAATCCAAAATAAAGTTTCTAGAGGATGTGGTCTCTAGCGAGGGTGTTCTTAAATGGGGTCTTCTAAAGGTAGCTTCAGATTATTGTGTGTGGTGCGGGATGCAGTGCTCTTGGGAACCTTTACAAATGTTCTAATGCCATTCATGAAGATTACTCTCTCATGACCTGATCACTCTCAAAAGCCCCATTTTCTAATACTATCTCCTTGTTGGTTAAGATTTCAACTCATGAGCTGGAGTGGTGTGGGGGCAAGAATACCCAGACCCTAACAGAGATCCAATAAAATGACTTGACTGACCATTTAAGAAAGTGAGCAGGCTGGGCGGTGGTGGCACAGGCCTTTAATCCCAGCACTCGGGAGGCAGAGGCAGGTGGATCTTTGTGAGTTCGAGGCCAGCCTGGTCTACAGAGAGAGATCCAGGAAAGGCGCAAAGCTACACAGAGAAACCCTGTCTCAAAAAATCAAAAAAAAAAAAAAAAAAAAAAAAAAAAAAGAAGTGAGCAGGAAGAGAGAGTTGGAGATATTTTCACTTCGTATTAGACTCATATATGAAATTATCTATTTGTTTCTATGGGAGCAATTTCTTACCAAATGTAGTGAATGTTTACTTCTCAGAATGGATTCTTGTCCAGAATAAAAATTTCATTGAGTTGAATTAATTTTAAAACACACAGAAAAACACCCTTACTTAGTCATTTCATTGTCAAACATTTATGCAGAAGCTACTTTTCAATAGTTCTATTTACTGAGTATAATACATGGAATGCTTTCAAACTAATATAGCACAGTAATGCTTAGCCACTGTGCCAAAACAGTTGATAAATAAAAAGGAGGCATTAGTTGTGTGTGCTGGCACACACCTTTAATCTCAGAATTAGAGAGGTAGAGGAAGGTGTATCTATGTGAGTTTGAAGCCAGATCTATGTGAGTTCTGGGGTACTCAGGGCTACATCCAAGAAGTATAACTTTCAGTTTGTTTTTTTTTTTATATATGAAAATTGGAGATACCCTTTAACCTACCCCTAAAGTTTTAGTTTTCTCATCAATAATATAAATAGAAAAATTATAATTACAGCTGATCTATAAGACAGTGAAGTTAAAAGTAGCTTAAATTTTAATATTTCCAACAAAGGTTTCCAAAGTGTGGCCACAAGTGTGTTCAAATGAAATTCCCAGACCCACCTCCAGACCGATTGAATCAGACACTGTGGGGATTAAGTTCACTAACCTGTGTCTTTGGCAAATTGTTATGTATTTAGAGTTTGATAATCACTGCTTGGAAATACATGATGCACTTCATATCAATGTATTCATACCTGTATCACCAACAATGTTTTCTCTCTTAACTTCCACCTCCTCTAAAATTTCCCCCTCCCATCTCTCAGTGAAAAGGATTTTGATGAAGATAAAACTTTTCTTTATGCTTCATGTCTTCATGGATACATGGGATCTTGCAAACAAAATAAGCTCATGTCAAGGAAATGGTTATCCATTTAGAGTAATTCTTAAGGTCTGTAGAGTTTTCTTAGGGGCTAGCGAGCTTGCCGTTTTTATGGAGGAGTTCAGTTTCTAGTACTCACATAACCATGAGTAAATCCAGTTCCAGGGATCTGACACTATTTTATGACCTCTATGGTCATTGCACACATGTGGTCCACTTTACATGCAGACAAAACATCCATACACATAAAATAGAAAAAACAATTTTTTTTTTTTTTGGTTTTTCAAAACAGGGTTTCTCTGTGTAGCTTTGTGCCTTTCCTGGATCTCGCTCTGTAGACCAAGCTGGCCTCGAACTCACAGAGATCTGCCTGCCTCTGCCTTCCGAGTGCTGGGATTAAAGGCGTGTGGGCTGGATAGATGGCTCAGCCTTTAAAGGCTAGGCTCACAACCAAAAAAACAAATATTTTAAAGAGTAATCTTTGTGAATATTTTTTGAGAATCATTGGATAGTAGAGTAGTGCATTAATAGTATCAATACAAGTTCACAGGTTAATAAGTAGGGGGAAGCATTTTGGTTCCATTTTGTGCTTATTGTGAGTCAAAAGAAGTTGGTACAGGATTTTCTCCTAAAGGCTAATCTCTAGAGATCAGTTGTAATGGGTTAAAATGACAAACCCATGTTACAGATTTGTAACCTTAGAAACAAGCACCAAGTGATCTCCCATATTTATCCTGTTCTTTCTGCCACAGATCATAAAAAAATGAGAAATAAAAAGTATATATATATATATGTGTGTGTATATATACATATATAATTCTGGGCACAAGGCTACTTCATCAACTGAGAAAGACTCCTATCTGATTTTAAATTTGTTACCCTCTCTAGATTTATAAAGTGGTCTGGGGTATGTTCTCATGTACAGTTAGCACTAGTTTGTAAGCACATTTAGAGAAACATTAATCAGAAATCTTATGAGGTATCACTTGTGCTTTTGGCTCAAACATCATGCACCCTTGATGTCTGAGGGAATCTAAGATGAGTTAAAGAATGACATATATTTCAACAAGGATATATCCAAATGGAGAGCAAATGGATTTGATTATAGCTGTATGTTTTTCTTCTGTCTGTGCCCCATAATATTTCAATTCCTTTTATAAAACTTCCTTCAGGAAAGCCGTTTTTGGACAGGCTTTTAGCAATCCTTAGTGACTGGGAGATTGAAGTAAATGGAGATACCACTCCCCCAGGAGCCCTTCCGGTTCTCTCAGCTCGGGCCTGGAAGCCCGTCTGGGCCTTTCATTTTCATTTGCTGGATTTTATATCTCGATATAGACAGGGTCATTATTTGAGAAAAGATGTGATGGGGAATTCAAGGATGTGCCCCTGAGTGACAGTGATTTGATTCTGAGCTACAGCAGCTTGACTCAGCAATAGCAATGGATGTTACTATGGCAGACTGGGGCTGTTTGTGTTCAGTCTTTAGGGAATGATCCCACATAGCCTAACACTTACATGTATTTTTGAGAGAAACATTTCATCATGTATAGGAAAATCACATCTTCTCCTATTCTCCACTATACTTCTCTAAGGTCATTGTCTTTTGAGTTATTGGCCTTCCTGAGTCACTACCAAGACTCAAAAATTCAAGTCTAGTAGGTCATTGCTTTCTCTTTTTTTCTCACCTTAGTTCCTATCATCTCTAACATCTATTTTCTTCAGATATGAAATCAGAAGAACATGGGTGTCTTGGACTTTCCAGGGGTAGTGTTTGTAAAACAGATGCAACTAGCTTTACTGTTAGGGCTTCATAAAGAATCCAAAGAGACAAAAGAAGATGGGGGTGGGGGAACTCAGCTATATTCTCTCCTTAGGAAGCTCCCCCAGGTTAGTTAACACCTCCAAAAGCTCCCCCATCTCCTTTGCAAACTTGTTCTTTCCCTGTTTCATCATTTTGTTTCTGATGCTGTTGACTGCTTCCCACCTTTCTTCGGTGTCCTTTGTTTAATGATTTCCCATTGGTTTGATACCATTTGGTCATGTCTATGCTTTTTGCTTTTTATGTGTTCTCTTTTTCCTCCCATCACAGGTCACAGACAGCTGCACAGAGGAACTGTTCACTTGAAGACTGGTTATTAGGAGGAGCCCAGGAACTGGGAAGAGAGGAGCCGTCAGGTTTTCTTCATGCTTAGAAGCATGTTCTCCATACCTGAAGTGAGAGAAGCAAAAGCTGGAGCCCGACTAAGGCAGGACCAAGATGAGAAGCCTGTAAAAGGAATGTTCCTAGAGGGGTGTGAACTAGGAGAGGCAAACTAGAGCCAGCCTGCCAGGTCAGTAGCTAACAGCCCATGAGTTTGCTACTAAGGAAATTAAGACTGGAGCTAATGAGATAGCAGCCACCTCCTGAGAGTGAGCTGGAGGCGTCCTATTAATTCTCTCTTCTAGGTACCTTTGCCTAAACAATCTTAAAGTTGTTTTCCTATTTGTTTAAAAGCACAAGACCCAGAAGACAAAGGCATTTATAGAAGAGAAGTTGGAGGAAAACTCTTATTACACTCTCCCTGGAAATGTTCTTCACCAAAAACATATCCTAGGTCACGGAAAGAAGATAGAAGAAAAAAAAAGATTCTGCATAGATAAGAAACACAGCCAAGATGACTCAGACAGTCTCAGGGGGAATTCTGGTGAGAGGGCATTGATAAATCTGCTATTGGCTCCTTAGACTCAGCATTGTTAGCCTACCTCTTACAAGCACATGAGTCAATTTTGAGAATTTCAGGTGTTGAGCAATCCTAGCTGTGTCCACTTATCCCCCCACCTCCACCCCACCCCACCCTCCGCCCCGTGGCAGAAGTCTGTTCAACTCGCAGGTCACCAGGAGAGTGATTGGAAGTCTCTGGCTATTGCTTGGTCCTGGATAAACATGTAGGGTCACTTTATAGCCTGGGACTCCAGCTTCTGGTTGCACACTGAGGTCCCTTACGAACCGAGCCAGGTCTTTGCGGGAGGGCGAAGCTGAAGGAGCCTTGGCTGGCTGGAAGAAGACCGGCAGCGGCTTAGCTGCAGGCTGCGGTGATAGGGACATTTCGGAATGAGGATGTGAGGGGTGGACAGCTCGCGAACTTGTCCCCCCCCCCCCCCCCGGCACCATGACGCCAAGGAGGTCTGGGAGAGACCCTAGCGGGATGTTCCCCCCGGGGCGGTGCAGCTGACATCCCCCGGCGGCGGCGCCGCGCGGCCCCTCTCTCCACCCGCGAGTGTGCGCGCGCGAGCGGCGGCAGGCGGCGGCGGGAGGAGGCGCAGGCGCGCTGCTCGCCCGTCTGCAGCCCCGCGCCGAGCGCCTCGTCTCGGGGAGTTGATGGCAGCACCACAGTGCGGCCGCCCGGCCGAGCGCACCGCGCAGCCACCCGCCGCTGCCCTCCGAGCGGCCGATATGTGGGGGGACTGGGGTGGGAGCGGCCGGAGCAGCGCCAGGGACCCCGGCGCGCAGCAGCCTGGGCTCGCTCGCCTGTCCTGACCTGACTCGCTAGTTCCCCCCACCGAAGAATGTCAGCCAAGTCCAAGGGGAACCCCTCCTCGTCCTCTGCAGCCGAGGGACCTCCGGCAGCCTCCAAAACCAAGGTGAAGGAGCAGATCAAGATCATAGTGGAGGATCTGGAATTAGTCCTGGGCGACCTGAAGGACGTGGCCAAAGAACTTAAGGAGGTGAGAGGGGCTGGGGTGGGGAGGGAGTGGGGCGACCCGCGCCCTTCGGGCGGGTTCCGGTCCCCCTCTTCGCTTGGGACCGTGGCATTTCCAAACTCCTAGCAACTACAGAGGGATGCCTGCAGACCCGACTTTTTTGGCTCTGGCTACTCGTGAGAAGAGTTGTGGCACTTTCCATCTCTCTCTTTTTTAATCAGACAGAAATCAACTAGTGTTTTAATCGATGGACTCAGCAGGATGGTGGGAGGGGTGGAAGCAAACTACTGTCTACACGGGACTGCCGGTGGTGTCAGGGGAAGGGGTTAACTGGGGGTGTGTCATCACAGAAGACGTGAGCACCGGCTGGCCCGAGCCGGTATGATGCTCTTTGCCTGCCCGGCTGCTCCCCTTCCAGTCCTTTGGCAAGTCCCCTCCTGGCCTGGCAGCCTCTGGAAGCTGAGCTGAAGGGGGTGTCTTCTGGGCCCTGGGCCAGGCCAGGGAGGGCACTGGGAGGGGGAAAGCGCAGCTCTGGCTCCCCTCTCCTCTTCCCAAGCCCCACCAAAAAGAAGGCGACCCCGGATGCTGACAGGAGAATCCAGCTTAGGGGAAGGAGCTATGTCTGGGACTTTCTCACTTTCGCAATTCCTGAAGCATCTCCTGCCCTTTTCCCAAATGTTTTCCAGCAACTCTGGGCCTTCGCGCCACCCCGAGTGTCGCCATTCTTCACTTCCTTCCTTTCATTCTGTCATCGCTTGGCATTGAACCTGAGCAGTAGGGCTTACAGAGGAGTGTGTATGTGTGTGCGCGTCGCGCGTGCCTTGTGGTCTCGCCACTTGCATCCTGGGTTTTTAGAACTGGGATTGTTTTCCCCCTCCCCCGCCAGTATTCTACCCCCTCTATACTCCGCCCCTCCCTATCCGGGTGAACTGGATTGGAAGAGGTGAGGTGTCGGGTGGAGGCTGCGTAACTCAGGCAGCCTAAGCGGACCAGGGCCCCAGTGCGGGCCAGTGGGCAGGAGGTGGGTCTCCTTGTCAACCTGGCTGCCTCTTGTGGCTGGGGGAGCTATTGGCAATGCCCACAGCACTGTCGCACTACGGAGTGGGGCTCCTGGTGCAGTTCTTGGTGAGGGAGTCTGGCAGTTCGAGCTGCAAGAAGACAAACTTCTTAGGTGGTGGTTGTGGTGGTCTCCATGGAAAAATAAGGGGAGGGGCAATCATAGCCTAAATCCGAATTCTAATTCGGTTTCCGAAGCCAAGTAGGGGGAAATTGGGGGCTGTTTGGATGACTGGCCTCTAGAGATTATCCTCCTGTCTTTTCCAGCCCAAATGTGAAGAGTCTTCCAGGGATTACCTCTATGAACAAAACCCCGAGTTTCTAACCAAATTCACAGCCTGTTGAGAGGATCCATTCCTGGCCAGAGTTTGTTTTGCCGAGGATGAGTTCATTCCTGTAGGTTTCTCTGCAAAAGGGACACAATTACTGCTAAGGTCCTGATAGTGGTGGTAGGCATTGACAGGTCAGGAAACTTGTTTGTGTTTGCAGGATTTTCCTAGGCTTGTTTCACAACTAGTTGGCAGCTGGAGAGGCTGTGACCAAAATCCAAGTCTAAAGATGTTTGTTTCTTTGTTATCCTTTTACTAGCCATGTTTGGCAGATTGTTTTCATTTGCAACATTATCGTGTTTTTTAAAAATGAATAATTTACAAGAGTTCCTCTTGGCACACACCTGCTTTGCATTTTTTTTTTTTTTAAAAGGTAGTGGATGTCGAAAACCAATAGCACCAAAGGGTATAGCTTGTTTTGTTTACAGGGAGAGAGACTGAGAGAAAGGTGGCCAGCCAACATTTTGCTTCTGTGGGTCATGGTAATGTATCAGGACACTCACTCTTTTGGTGAAACCAGAAACTCATGACCTTGCTTCTTTGTATTATTATTATTATTATTATTATTATTATTATTATTATTATTATTATTATTATTTAGACATTTGAAGGCCAAGATAATATACAGGAAAATGTTTAGCCTCTCTGGTTTGTGGCTAGAATTAGAGATGTTGGTCTTCCCATGTATTCATTTTAAAAAATATACATATTTAAGAGGAAAAAAATCGGTACTTCACCAAAGGATGGAAATGCAGACCTGACAGAGCTTGAGAAAACATCTTCATTTGATGCCTTGCAAGGTTTCATTCACTAAGCAAGGCCTAATTGGGTGAAAATCTCAGCACAAAGCTAAAATACATGAGTGATACATGATGTGATTGATTACCAGCTAACTTTGCTGTGGACAATCAGCATCCTAGGCTTGAATGTGGGAGTGTATATGCTAAAGCTAAATATCAAAAGCGGCTATTTATAGAAGAAGAATGGGAGTAATTTCCAGGACCAAATATTTATAGGGCATGTTTAACCTATGACATCTTGTGGTTGTTCAGCTTTGATCTGTCTGGATAAGGCAGCATACATGACTAAGTATGTCTTTCATGAAGCTTTAAAGAAGCACGTCACTGAAAACTTTGGTAAACTCTGCAAAGCTTATTTATACATATATACATAATTATGTAGTACACATAAATTATTATAGTATTATACTATTGCTATACATAATATAAATTATTATATTCAAAATTCAAATTCCTTTATGCATAACACTATGCTTTTAAACCATGTTATATTTTGATATTAATTTACAGTGAACTTTTATTAACTTGGAATGGAAACTAAAGTAATAACATAATTTTGACTGATTCACTGTCAATTTCATTTTCATTACAACTTAAGGTTGAAACATTCTGCCTTTTATCTTTGTACAAACCTCACCAATAACACTGAATTTTTGTTTGATTACTTTAATATTTTTGAAATTAAAGTATAATTACATCATTTTCCCCATTCCCTTTCTTCCCTCCAATCCCATTTGCCCCCTCCTTTTCTCTCTTACAGATTCACGATTGATTATTTTAATAGTAGCTTTTTTAATTCTGATAGGCAGGGTAGATTTGATCACCATACTAGCTGTTTGAAACACTTAATAATTAGTAAGAAAACTCCATTCTGTTCACTAAGAGGAGTACTTGTTATATCTTTTTCTGATTTGTTGTTTAGTTATAATAATTTAATCAGTTATAATTGCACTGAGTGTTATAAAGAGACAGGATTTTTAGAAAACCCAGAGACTGTTTTATTCATTCTCAAAAGTGAATAAAACCTCAAAACAACTTGAGGATTTCAGAAATATTATGAATCATTTATCTTTCTGTGCTATAATTTAAAAAAAACTAAAATATAGCTCTCTATATGTGTTTATTCAGCACCTACCATGTTACAGTAGAACTTTGTTGCTAAAATGAATAACTTTTGTTCATGCTCAAAATTTTACTTATGATGTGTTTATTATGTTATTAAGCATCAGTGCTCTTAAAAAGTCATTAATGCTTTTACTGGCTGCTCTGACTATTGATGTAAAGTAGAAATTGAAGCTAAGAGTACTAATTAGTACGTGTTCATTTATAAATCTGTACTGGTTATGTACTCAGTAGTATGGTATTCTGTGAGCAAAGAACATGAAATTTAAGAAGAGAACAAGATAAGAACTTTAAGAAACTTATAGTTATCCAGGTTTTCGTGGTGGACATAAATGGATTGGTTCACAAGAGATCACATATTCATGTGTTGTAAGTATATATGTGAAACCTCCATGAAGAATAAAAGTTTTATAGAAATGTAAACTCAAAATATGAACCTTCCTTTGCAATATGGATAAGATTTGAAGAGTTAAAAAAAAAGATGTTAACAAAATTCATCATTGGAATATGTGATTAATCCATGTTGTGTTTTCTATAAATTGAAGAAAGTGTTTGTGAAACTCTAGAGTTTAAGGAATAAAATTAAGCACAACTGGTATAGCAGATGTTAGTGTTCAATTTTTTACTAAGAAATGTGGAAACAAATGCACTTTTTAAAATATTTTTTAAATAATTCAAAATGCTGGTAATAATCTGAGTGTTCCTTTCTAAAGATGGGACTTGTGAAATATTTTACATTAAATGTTTGTTTGCTGGAATCTCCAATAAATAGCCTTAACTGCTTTAGCTGAGTTATCTTTTTGTTCAGACTGTTTATAGCCTTGAACTTTCCTTGTAGCATCTCAGTGCTTTAAATCTTGTCACAGTACTATTATATGAATGGAACAAACTTTAACATGCAATATATAAAACTTACGTTTATAACAAGTAAGAGGGGCACTTGTGAGTAGGTGTCATGGAGGCAAAATAAGAACCGTTCTGTTAGTGAACTAGAATCACCTCATGGCTGGATTCCACAGGTAGGCAGGTGAATCTGTGAATGGAAAGCACAGAGTTTTCTTATAATTTCATAGACAAAAGAGAGGAACAACTTAAGTTAACCTTAGAAAACTTGGAAAGTCCATCAACATTGATTAAAAACAGAATTAACAATTACTTATTAGGTATTCTTGCCTTGTAACATTTTCTGTTTTAAAAATGATTATGTTATTGATTTAAGTGTATGAGTGTTTTGCCTGTACATACATGTGTGCACTATGGAGGCCAGCAGAGGGCATGACATCCCCTGGACCTGGAGTTAACGATGGTTGTGAGCTAACGTGGGTGCTGGGAATTGAAGCTTTTTAACTTTTTAACAGAGCCATCTCTCGACCCCCTTAATGATCTTTCTTACTGACTTATTCACTTGTAATGATGTAGTTTATTGCTCTGAGAAATCCTACAGTATTATTAGTTAATGAATCTATGCATATAAAATGCATTCTTAGAACAAATTATAGAGAATGATCTCTGTAGTATTTTCTAAGTTCTAAAATTATGAATGAATGGAAGTCAACAGTGCATCACTCTATCTTTACTACTCTATAGCTTACCTTACTGAGATGTATTTACTAAACGTTTAAATACATTAATTACCTTTTCTCTTCTTAAATATGGTGCCTTAGAAGGCTACTGAGAGGATGCTTCTGTGAGCATAAGATAACTAATATCCACCCCT